AAAAAAAAAAGACATTTAACGGATAATTGTGTCATGCTGTCACTTAACTGACAGAAGGACTAAAAAGGGGCCGAATTTCAAACAGTAAGGATCAAAAAGGGGATTTTTTCGGTATAAGGACTAAAAAGGGGGTTTTTCCTATAGTAGAGGAACCAAAAAGGGTATTTAACCCATTTTTTTACCATTAGTCTGAACACTTGATAATGTAAATCCTGTTGGTTACAAATGAGTCTTTGTGAGAAAATGAGATGAGAAAAATGAGGTTGTAAGATGTAAGACCAGACTTGTAGCTTAAGGTTTTACATAAATACTTAGCATTGACTACAATGAGACATATTCTCTTATGATGGCTGCAATTACATTTAGATTTTTAATAAGTCCATCATTTTTGAAGGCTTTCAAGTGCGTCTTATGGATGTTGTAACTGCTTACTTTTATGGATCCTTTGATAGTAATATTTATATGAAAGTTCCTATTGGACGTAAGATGCTTGAAGCACACAATTCAATGCTAAAGGAGTTGTTTTCAATAAAATTAAGATGGTCTTTGCATTGACTCAAATAATTAGAACAAACGTGATACAATCATATTTGTGAATATCACTTAAAAAAATGATATGAAAATAATCTAGTTAGTCTTTACCAAGAAATGAAACTTTGATTTGCCATCATTATAGTATTTGTAGATAATTTAAATATCATTGGAACCTCTAAAGAGCTTGAAAAGGTAGGTGGGTGTTTAAAAAAAGGATTTGAGATGAAAAATCTTGTAGTAACCAAATTTTGTCTCACTTTGCAAATAAAACACCTAACAAACGAAAGATTTTGAAGCAATTTAATATGGACTATGCTCATCCTTTGATCTCACCAATAGTTACTTGATCCCTTGATGTAAAAAGGGACCCTTATCAATCAAGAAGATAATGAAGAAATCTTTGGTCTTAAAGTACCATATTTGAGAGCCATAAGTGCAATAATGTATTTAGCTAATAATATGTGACCTAATATCACATTTTCAATAAATTTATTAGCAAGGTATAGTTCTATATCAATACAAAAGCATTGGAATAGCATTAATTATTTACTTTGTTATCTTCAAGGAATAAAAGATATGAGATCATTTGATTCAAAACACTCAAAACTTGAGTTAATTGGGTATGCAGATGCTAGATATTTGTTTGATTCTCATAAAAGACAATCACAAATAGGCTATCTATTCATGTATGGTGGTACTACAATTTCTTGGCACTCATCCAAACAAACAGTGGTAGCAACATCTTCAAACCACTCAAAATTAGTTGCACTATTTGAGGCTAGTTGGGAATGTGTGTGGTTAAGGTCCTTGATCCAACATGTTCAAGAAACATGTAAACTTACAACAATTACAAAAAATCCAACTTTACTATGAGGATAATACCACATGTATTGCACAAATAAACGAAAAATATATTAAAGAAGATCAAACCAAGCATATTTCACCAAAAAAATTTTCTACACATGAGCTTCAAAATGATGGTAAAATAAACATCAAACAAATCAGTTCAAGTCAGAATATTGTACATAATTTCACTAAGTCGTTGCCCATCAAAATTTTTGAGCCATTGGTGTATAAGATAGGCATGTTTCTTTAGAGATCATTATTGAACCAAGGGGGAGGATTATATGCACTGTACTCTTTTTCTCCATAAAAACTCTTTGTATCATTGTATAATGAACTTTAACTTTAGAAGTTACAATGTATTATATATATTGCTACACATTATGTGAAATAAAATAAGAAGTTAAAAATTCCTTTCTCTTGTTGATAATGCTTATTTAATTTCTTTAGTTCTTATTTTATCTAGTTTCATATTATTTTCTTAACAAAACTAATATTTTTAAAGCTTGCTTTTAAAGTTGTAACTCTATATTTTTATGATTATTTTAAGAATAAGGATTAGCTTTTATTAGCGCAAATTTTAAAAAATTCTTACATCAACTTTCAACCATAAATTTTAAAATTTATAGGTTGTTTTGAAAATTCGAGTATTGCATTAATTACTAAAAGTTGATATTACTCTTATTTAAATCCATTTTTAAATGATAATTTTTGAAAATGTTATTAAACTCAAAATTACTCAAAAGCAGCACAAGGAAAACATTGAGAAATCTCTAAGAGATGGATTAACTAACAAACAAATGTCATCGGGTAAGCCAAATCCAAACTTTAAGTCTTGGACAAATTAATTTGGGAAAATATTGATTCATAAATACAACCAAAAAAAAAAAGAAGGAGGGAAAAGAAAGAAAGGACTAATAAAATGTTGAGGCCTTGAGAAGTGTCAATAAACTATCAAGAATTAATCAAATTGCCTCAAACCTAAGTTGAAAAGTAAACAATTTTCCAAGTTCTAAGTTGAGTAAAAAGTTTGTTAATCATCAACAAAATGAGTTGCTGCCATAAATTCATCTAAATCTCAGCACAAGCATGTTTAGCAAACACTAGGATATGTAAGAATAATAGACAAACATCTCCAAGAAAGGAGATGAGGTATTGTTTCCTAAAAAATCCTCTAGTGGCCTCACACGTGTGAAATCTGGATGCAAACGTGCCACTTACTTTGCTGAAAGTAAGAAAGAAGGACTTTCCCAACGACCCTCTCCTCCTCACGGTCGACCTCTTTGTAGATGCGAGAAGAACATTGGATTTAAACTGAAATTCGCACCTACAGACGATTTGCAAGAGGGAGAGATACCTTCCTGCAAAATGGGTTACGAAATCTGCCTTGGACAACTCCAAGGACTTAAACACTACTGTGACTTAAAATTATCAAATCCTAATTAAACTAAATAACTTGCAGTTTAAAATAAATTTACGAGAATAAAACGTGCCCAAGTTAAATTAAACAAGTTTATTATTAAATTAAAATGCTATCTACTGGTAGATTTGGAAATTAAAATGCTGTAGAATTAAAGATTTTACCATAATTAACATTAAAATTAATGTGAATAGTAATTAAATTAACATGCTTGAAGTTGAAAAGAAGTGTGAACACCACGTAAGTAATTATTAAATAAAATGCTACTTATCATAAACATTATATTAATTGCAAATAGAAAGAGAACAGTACCTTGCATAAACTTGAAAGATTGAAGTTTATTGTATGAAAGGAAATTGTTGAATTGAGTACATAAACTAATTTTCCTAATAGAATGATGAAAAACAGCCTAAATCTACTGGAATTTGTGCTGAAATCTGAAATCTTGAAGCATTTTGCAGAGAAAATAAAAGTCTGAAAATTTACAGATGTTTAAGTAGGGCTGGCCGTCTGTTCTCCCTTCCAAAATTTCTTTTTGTTCTCCTTTGACCGGCAGTAACCCCCCACTTTCTGTAGTTACAAAGTTGTGGGTGGTTTCTTGAGGTAGTGGGACAGTTCACCTATTGATTTGGCCTGATCTCTTTCCAGATTTTCGCCACCTATGCCTTTATCAGATAAAACCCCTCTTTAACTGCAATCCTCTCCTATATTTTAGCTCAAACAGTCCTTTTTACCTCAAAGAGATAATTACATAGTAAAATCTCATCTTTTTCTCCCTTTTTTTGCCAAAATGACAGTTGATCTATCATGAGACCTAGAATCACGAATCTGACAGGGCTTAATCTCCTCCATCCATTTAAAAAATTTTGACACGTGGCATGATCCTAAATTTTTGCAATTTATGGTGTAAACAATGCCCCCCAACACTTGGTTTTATGGAAATAAATGCAAGTGTTTTAAATTAAATAAATAAATTGCATGCACAACTTCAACTCCCTATGCCACGTGTCAGATTTCAACCACTAAAATGCACATGGTAAATAACTTCAAGATTTGAAAGAGGAGATCTCAAACCTTGAGGCGAAGCTTGCAAAATTGAAGCAACAGATTCCCCTTGCAAAGTAGATAGAAAAGTGCTTGGCAAAACAACTCAGCAAACTTTTCACAAATTTAAAAGCAAACCTACAAGCACTTTCCAACATCAAAGCACAACTTCGTTCTTTCATAGCCTCTTTGTTCATGCTTGTGGCCACTCACTTGTTGTATGCCTTGTTCCATTCTGTAGAATGTTGAAATCTGCCACGGCCAAAATCTTACTACTTTGATTCCTCACGGCCAGATTTATCCAGCTTATATATTCAGATCAGCACATTTATTGAATTATAAAAATTCTAAAAATGAAAAAAAAATATTGTTCACTTCCTACCCGAAATCTATCTCAAGTAGAATTCGTGGTATCCAGACCTCTAGCCTCCCATATCGTAGGATAGTAAGGCTTAAGATAGATTCCATTTATTTTTTGAGGGTGTAGCTCTCCATTCAGTGATTCAAGCCAATATGCTCCCCCTCTAAGCACTTCATGGATACGAAATGGTCCTTCCCAATTGGGAGACCATTTTCTAGATCTGGGATCTTTCTTTCCAAGTGGCAGAATTGCTTTCCAAACCAAATCTCCTTCTATTATGAAAATCTGGTTGTACCCACTGTGGCCATCCATGAATGACAGAATTCGATGGCATGCTGTGCCATCCACCAACAAATCTGCAATAGGCATAGGATATTCATCTTTTGATGTTACCAGATTCGGATTTCTGAAATTCACACAGATTCTCAGCTTGCCATTCTTTTTAACCACAAATACCACATTAGATAACCACTCCACATATCTGGAAGTTTTGATAAAACCAACCTTTAACAGCCGCTCTATCTCTTCTTTAACTTTTAAAGTGACTTCTGGAGACATTCGTCTGGGCGGCTGCTTGAAAGGTTTAAAGTCTTCTTTAATTGGTAATCTGTGCTCCACCAGATTTCTGTCTAGACCTCGTCCAGGGGATTTTGTACTTCTGCCTTAAGATTATAGAGTTTTGCTGGTGCCAGATCTAATTCCTCCAGAGTTATCTGATCCTTTGAGTCATCCTCTTCTCTTTCATAAACTACCTCAAATCTATCTACACAGATCCGTTTTTCTGCAAGGTAGGTCGGTAATTTTCCTTTAATTTCTTCCACAGCCTCCTTTTTTGGTGCTTAATGGGATCCTTCTTCATGAAATCTCTTCAATTTCAGGCTCCTTCCTCAACCTAAAAGGAATAATTGCTGTAGGCCAAAGAAGTTCATCACAGACCTCCTTTACAATATGTCTGTCAAGTGCAGATCTGGTGTAGGCAATAATTCCAGAAGATCTGCCATAACAATCCATCCCAAAGAAATGGATAATTCCAATATTTTCATCATAAAACGAGCTTCCACTGCATTAGTGTTTGCCATAAAAAGCTCGTCATTTGCTGTCACAACCTCAGTTCTGCCACCATTCCAAAATATCAATTTCTGGTGCAAAGTCGAAGGAACACACTAGCTGAAATGTATCAAATCTCTCCCAAGTAATGCATTATAAGTGGCAATGGTGTCAACCACAAAGAATGTATACATGAGAGTTCTATTTCTAACAGTGAATTCTACTAGCAAATTCCCCTTGAGCGATTTACCTCACCAGTAAAGTCACTGATTGTCACTTTTGTCTCCATTAAATCACCCAAAGATTTGCCAATTTTGTGTAGCATATAGGTTGACAAAACATTGACAGCTGCTCCATTACCAACCAGAACTTGATTTATTAGCATACCATCCAGATCTTCACGAATGTATAATGGCCTGATATGTCTGGCCATTCTTTCTTCTGGCTTTTCAAAAATGATTTTATCTACTGAATCTACACCTTCATCTTCCTTAGCTGGGATCTCAATGATTCCTCTTTCCTTGGTATGATCTATTTGTTGACAGACTGTAAATTCTGACTGTTCCCTAACTTGAAAAACCAAAGGAAGAGTGATCACCAAACAAGATAAATTCATGAAAAACTCATCAAAATAAATTAAATCTGATGAATTTTTCGCTTTATCTGACATGTCAAACTTCGCCTTCAAACCAATTTTTTCATTTGATTCCACAGCTAGAACTCGAGGTGATGTTGGACTTCTAGGTGGTTCATTATTTTCTGGAGAACTTTGACCAGATCTGCTTCCTTTTTCTTTATGAACCCACACTGATTTTCTTCTTGCTAGGAGCAGCTGATTCTGATCTGTCATGCCCCCCAAGTTTGTAATCTATAGTCGGTGTCTCTCTGTTGCCCTTTTGCGTTGTAAGCGCTTTCTTATGGTCCTTCGATTTTGAACCTTAGGAAATTTTGGATGAACCACATGTTCCTACCATTTGCTTGGAGATCTGGGTGGTGGTTTCACCATTCTGGGCTTTTCTACGTTTCTAGATATCACAGTTCCCAGATTTGCAAAAATTTTCTGTTGAGCTGAACCGTGCCCCTTGTGCCTTCTCCTTCTAGATGAGTTTGATCTAATCTGATTTTTGTGAGCCCTTGCCTCCTCAATGATCCACCTCAGATCATCAGCTACAAATCTGCGCCCATAGTATGGCTAATTTTTGTCTCTAGCAATACTCCTGAGATCTGTTGCGTTCACCCCAATAGACATGCTAAGGAATGGATCTGCATCAACTTCTATAGTTTTTTTAGCCTTATCTGGAAAACACAAAATTCCCTTATCGATTTTGTCTTGCAAAACATTCCAAAAAATAATGCAATCATTAGTAGAATGTTTCTAAAAATTGTGATACTTGTAATATTCTTTACTTCCAATTTCACCAGGCGTTGGGATTTTATGCCCCAGCGGCAACTTAATTAGACCACTTTTTTTAAGGTGATAAAAAATTTCATTAGTTTTTGAAATGTCAAAAGTATACTGCTTTCCAGCCTCGCCGATATAACGCTTTACTGTTTTATCAATATGCTCAGCCATTTTAATCAAGTCTGGGCAAACAATTGGCTTGTCTGCCGCCACTTCTATCACATCCAGATCAAAGTTATCGTTACCATAATAAGTCCCATAAGATGCAGATTTCCTTTGTGCATCATCTCGCAAAAAATTTTCATAACGAGTCACCTTGTAAGCAACTCATAAAAATCATGAAACTCTATTCCCTCAAACTTTTTCCTTAACTCAATGGCTAGACCATTTTGTGCCAACTTGACAAATTCTTGTTCTAGCAAGGTAACTTTGCTGTAATATCCCAAAATTTTGGGAATTTTATCATTTAAGTTGAGGACCTTTGTGTGAGAAAATATGGTTTTGGGGCTTAATAGCCAAAATTTCAAAAGTTGAGGGACTTAAAGAGGGAAAATTTGGATAAGGATGAGCTTCTTTTCTTTTTCTTCTTTTTCCTTCTTTCTTTCTTCTTCAGCCCGCGTGTTCTGTTCTTCTTTTCTTCCCCCTGCAACCGGTCGAAAACCCCGGCTGCTGCCACCCATTTCCGACTGAAAAATCGATAAGAAGCTTGGGTTTTTCCTTCTTTTTGGTTCAAGGACAAGATTTAGGAGCTTAGAATTCTTTCCTCCCCTCTGCAGAATCCAGATCTACTCTGCTCTGTCCAGTTGCTACTCTTGCCGATTGTGGGTGCAAAATTCTGGGCTGTTTCGGTAAGAAATAGCCATTAAATTCTCTGTTTTTCCTTGAATTAGCTTGGGTTCATGTTAAATATAGTGTTTCTCCAGATTTTGGGTGAACCCGTGAGCGTTCCCTACAGCTTGCCGCCGGCCTCTTCCCCCCTGCAGCTCCGGTTTCTACAGTTGAGAGTAAGAAAGGATGACTTTCTCAACGACCCTCTCATTTTTCACAGTCGACCTCTTTGCAGATGACGACAAGAACATTGGATTAAAACTGAAATTTGCACCTACAGACGATTTGCAGGAGAGAGGAATATCTTCATGCAAAATGTATTACAAAATCTGCCTTGGACAACTTTAAGGACTTAAATACTATCGTGACTTAAAATTATCAAATCCTAATTAAACTAAATAACTTGCAATTTAAAATAAATTTACGAGAATAAAACGTGCTCAAGTTAAATTAAATATGTTCATTATTAAATTAAAATGCTATCTACTGGTAGATTTAGAAATTAAAATACTGCAGAATTAAAGATTTTATCCTAATTCACATTAAAATTAACATGAACAGTAATTAAACTAAAATGCTTGAAGTTGAAAAGAAGTGTGAACACCACATAAGTAATCATTGAATAAAATGTTACTTATCATAAACATTAAATTAATTACAAATAGAAAGAGAACAGTACCTTACATAAACTTGAAAGATTGAAGTTCATTGCATGAAATGAAATTGTTGAACTGAGTACATAAACTAATTTTCCTAATAGAATGATGAAAAACAACTTAAATCTATTGGAATTTGTGCTGAAATTCAAAATCTGGAAGCATTTTGTAGAGAAAATAAAAGTCTGAAAATTTGCAGATATTTGAGTAAGGCTGGTCGTCCATTCTCCCTTCTAAAATTTCCTTTTTGTTCTCCTTTGACCGGCACCTCAAAGAGATAATTACATAGTAAAATCTCATCTTTATCTCCCTTTTTTTGCCAAAATGACAGCTGATCTATCATGAGACCCAGAATCACGAATCTGACATGGTTTAATCTCCTCCATCTATTTAAAAAATTTTAACATGTGGCATGATCCTAAATTTTTGCAATTTATGGTGTAAACAAGTATATAACCATAGACCTATAATAATATGTAATATAGAAGGATCAATTCACACCTGCTAAGCTGTAGATTACAAGATAATCAACTTTAAGCAATGTAACTTGTGTTAGAACTCGGCATATCAACGGCACACAACAAGCAGCAAATACACTGCCTGAAGGAGAAATCAAGAGATAATGCTGGAACTGAAATGAGTATGATGTAGACGTAGTTGGTTTTAGACACTGCAATGAAAGAAGTAACTTCCATCCAACTTTGTTTACAAGATTCCAGAGTTGGTTGGATCAAATCCGGCTTGAATCTCTTCCAAAAACGAATCTCCGAGTCCAATCAAATACTACCAGCACTCTAGTTTCGCCAGCTTACTTGTTTGCTGAATGTACAAAGATATGATGAGACTATACTAGATTCATGAATATGTGAAAATTGAAATTGTGAATGCCAATATTAGAGACGAAAAGAAAGCATCAGAAGCAGTGGGAATCACCTTGCGTATACAGAATACCAGAGCCACTGTGTGCTATGACCCAAGGAAACCCAGTCTCTGGGCAATTCTGCAGCTGCCTGCTCTCCTCCCAAAGGAGCAAATTGCCCAAAATGCTTGTACCTTGTAGTTACAGAGTTTTCAAAATTCAAAATGAAGCAAAACAGAACAAATTGATTCAAATTACTCCTATTTGCAGTTGTTCTATTCGGCATAATTAGTTTAGAAGTCAGAGCTTGATTTATTCACCCAAGCCAACCATTGTTAGTTATTTTCCAAGGTGCTTCCGATTGACATTTACACTTGCAACCTAATAACTAACTGACATCAATATAAAGGTTAAATACCCTTTTTGGTCCCTCTACTATAGGAAAAACCCCCCTTTTTGGTCCTGTACCAAAAAAATCCCTTTTTTGATCCCTAAATTTTAAAATCCGGCCCCTTTTTAGTCCCTCTGTTAAAATTTTGCTGACTTGTCACGTTAATTAACGGAATTATTTCATTAATTTTTATATAAACAATATTATAAATGACATGGAAATTACATGTACAATTATAAATGACGTGGACAAAATTATAAATACACGTAAACACTTTATCTGAATATTATCTGTCACTTATACTAATTAAAAATTTTACTTTATTAATTTATGAATTAAACATAATTAATTTTAATTTTTTCATCTTCTTCTTCCTCTTCTTCTTTCTCCTCGTCCTTACCCTCTTCTTCTTCTTTAGAATCATCTTCATCATCTTGGGTTCCTCGTGGAACCCAGTGCGGGGTTCACAAGGAACCCAGATCTGGGTTCCTCATGAAACCCAGCACTGGGTTAGCGAGGAACCCAGAACTGGGTTTCTCACAAACCCAGCATTGGGTCTGCATGGAACCCAGCTAGCTTGGATCAAAACGGGGAGGACGGGGAACACCACGGCAATCTCCGGTTGGGGCAGCCGGAGCTGTACAAGCAAGCTGATAGGGACGATCCCAAAGCTGTCCTTGATGGCGTCGATGTTGCTGGACTCGTTGGAATCTTGCGCCAATTAGGCGATCTCGCTGAGTATGTTTCTCGCATTGTTATTTGATTTTGCTCTTCAATTTTGGGGATTGATGGTGTTTCTAGTGTTGCATGAAAAAATTTGGAAATTGATTTTTGTTTTAATGTTGAGTTTCATAGTATGTATAGATTGAACTCTGAAGAATGTGAGGATTGATTGAACTGCAGGGGAAGAATTTAGGCATGCTAAAGTTGTATTGTTTGTTAGTTTTTTTAAAAATTTAAGGGAATTGAATGTCTGAGAATGTAATTTCTTCCACCTCCCCAACAATCCAAGCGAGCTGGGTTCCTCGCGAACCCAGGCTCTTGGGTTCACCTAGAGGTAAAAGAAAAAAAGGAAAGGCTGGAGGAAGGAGAAGCAGAGGAAGAAGACGAGGGTATATCAGTAATTAAAAGTAAAAAATTTAACATGTCATTAATTTTTGCCACATGGATTTTCCACGTAATTTCGTAAAAAAAAAAGGAATTAAATGTTTTCGTTAATTAACCTGCCACATCAGCTAAAATTTAACGGAAGGACTAAAAAGGGACCGGATTTATGAACAGTAAGGACCAAAAAAGGGATTTTTTCGGTACAGGGACTAAAAAGAAGCTTTTTCCTATAGTAGAGGGACCAAAAAGGGTATTTAATATAAACAACAAGAGGATCCCAATAATAGTTGATACTGTACCAAGAGTCAAGACTAAGAAACAAATTTTGTTTCTCAACTGTGTATGCATTAGAAGGCACCTACTTGGTAGGATGAGGCACTTATAAAGAAGACAATTAGATGATAGTGAGATAAAGGAGAGCATGGTATGGCATACCAGAATGGCAGGAATTGATGACGACCACCGGCCCTAAAACGTCGAGGACCTTCAGGATTTTGCTCACATTGATGACTGCAATTGAAGCATTTGGAAAGATATGCACCTTGTTGAGCAGCAACCTGAATTAAAAGGGTAGAAAAAGGATGAACATCATATTGCTTACACTGGAAACCATAAATTCATGTGAAAGT